AGAACCTGGAAAGGAGTTCTACGATTCCTTCACAGATCAATTTCCTGGGTGCAGTTATAGACACGGCAGGAAAAGATCTGGAAATATTGAGTAAAACAGAGCATATCAGCAAGAAAACTCATGAGCCTTTTGGGGTCCGTCACATCTACAATTGGTTTAGTAAGATAGGCCCATTGGCAAACACGACCTATTCAGATGGAATTTTTTGAGGCAGTTTGACAAGGGGAAATCAGACTGGGATCAATCTATTCTACTTCTTAAGAGTACAAAAGATCATCTGATGTGGTGGACAAAGTGGAAGAACCTGTGTCATGGTTAGCATCTAGAAGACCCAAACTGGCTCATTGTTACGACAAATGCAAGTTTGCAAGGATGGGGAGCTCATTTTGGGTCAAGATGGAAGCAAGGAATCTGGTCTAACAAAGAAAGAAAATTGCATTCTAATCTAAAGGGTATTGAGAGTCATATCCGGGGTCCTTCAAGAGTGTCTTCCTTATGTCATCGTTCCAACAGACAACAGACCAGTAGCTTTCTATGTCAACCATCAAGGGGGTACCCACTGCAGAACTCCTGAGAGACTTAGCTCCCCTAATGTTGTTTGTGCAGCAATATCTCCAGGGTCTGAAGGCAGTGTATCTACCTGGCCCACAAAATGTTCTGTCAGATTATCTAAGCAGATCAGAAATTCTTCCAGGAGAGTGGATACTTCATTCAGAGATATTCAGGGAGATTACTCTTCAGTGGGACATTCCCCAGATCGATTTGATGGCTTCTGCTCTCAATTCACAAGTTCTTATCTCTTTACCCAGTCCATAGGACTGGATGCTCTGTCCCAAGTATAGGAATTCGATCTGGAATGTTTTCCCTCCCCTACCCATTATCCACCGCCTATTGAAGGAAAAATGGTAATAGTTGTCTTAGTAGTGTTTCCCTCTACTATGCAAGATGAGTTTGGAAACACACTGGCTGCTACCAACCAGGATGGAAACGTTGAGTCAAGGTCCTGTATTTCATCCCGATCAGTTGAACTTGAGGGTCTAGCTTTTGAAAGGCTCCTACAATTAGGATTGTTAGAGGCAGTTATTGATACTCTTCTGTAGTCATGAAAGCATTAGAATCGTATTTTTGAGATGTTCAAATATTGGGCAACAGTGAAGTGGATTTTTTGCATCCTTCCCAGAACCATAATCTGAAATTTCTTCAAGTTGGCTTAGATAATTGGAGTCAAGAGTACTCTACAAATTCAGTGTTTTACGTTAACTGCCCGTTGTAATATCTCTTTCGCATCTAATCCCTGAATTGCTAGGTTTTTGTTTTAGGCCTAATTTATGAATTAGACCTCCAAAATACAATTTTATGCTTCCATGGGATCTTCCACAAATCCTGGATGTTTTGTGTGTATAAAAAAAAAAAAAAAAAACTCTATGCAAATAGATTTGGATTTTACTTAAACAATATAAGACACTCCTCCTAGATGCCATTACCTGAACTAGGAGAATGTCAGAGATAAAGGCCTTTTCTTACAAGGAGAATTATACTCACATTTTTCACGACAGAGTGGTATTGCATCCTAACCTGGAATTTCTACCAAAGGTAGTTTATAACTTTCACCTTATGAAAGATATTGTTCTACCTTCCTGTTCCTTCCTCTAACTTGGAGATTAAACTTCATTTGGATGTGAAGGAATGCTTGATTAGATACTTGGCAGTATCGGAGTCGTGTCGAAAGACTGATCACCTGTTCATTATAACTCCGGCTTCAATGAAAGGTGAAACTGCTTCTTCTACCGTACAAAGATGGATTTCTAATATCATTGTGAAGGCTTACACTCTTAAGAGTAAGTTTCATTCTACTAGGTCATTGAGTAACTGGGCAGAGGTTTATTCTACTTGGTCTTCTCCCATGACCTCCATTAAGCATTACAAACTGGATGTGGCCTGTTCTTCCACACAATTTAAAAGAAGTATGTTGGCCTCCCTCTTGGTGTCCCTCGCAGGGACTAGCTACTCCCCTAAAAGTAGTAAATGCACTCTAATTAACCACCCTGCTTTCCAAGTATTATAGTGGTGACTTACATTACCATCAATTAGCACATACACTGACACATAGGGATGTCACTGGTCTGCAATATAAATATGCCACTTATATGATTTGCATTTTCTTTTTCCCTAGAGACTTGTACACAGTTGGATTCTGTTGAAGATTAGCTTGACACTTCACATAAAATGGTATCCATAGGGCAAGACATTTGTACACATTGTCCAATGTACTTGGTGCTTTAAAGCTCATGACAGCAGATCCAATCATTGCACCAATGTGCAAGAGACCTAATTATCAATGTAAGTTATGTTCTTACGACTCCAAACAGAGATTGGAAGTGGGATGTTTTACTTTTCCCCATTGCAATTAAAATTTTTTTAGATGAAATTTCTATTTAATAAAAAAATGTTAGGTTCAGACATAAGATGAGCGCACAATAAACAGGAGAATGTATCCACTTTAAGCCCCTGCAAAACAACCTAATTCTGCATTGTTGAGCAATGAATAAATACATTACTCTTGTGCATCTTCTGGTTTACCTTTACTCCCTAGAGCAGTGCTCCTCAACCATTTCTCATCTAAGGCAAACCAAAGTTCCCAGAATTCCACAAGCAAAAAGGAGGAGTTATAAAGTGCATATGCAGAAATTAAACTTATTTTCATTTACATGATACAAGGACTAAATGCATATATAATCTATATAAGTAATGCAAAAGTATTTGCATACACAAATAATTGTGCCCCCCCAGTTTTAACTCTTGGCAAGGGACATGGGGACTATCCCTGCCCTGCTTACTGTAGTACAGAAGCGACAGGTCACCTGACACTGAGGGGGAAGAGAGTGCCCCGCGCAGCAGCACACATTTCAGAACACTGTCCTAGAGGTAGCAATCTTTTTCATTGCTAATCCCTTGTACAATATAAGAGGCTATCAAAGTACATTTTTGAGATGTCAGAAGTGTTTATTTCTACACTTTTCTTTTTGTATTTTAGAGTTCCCCAACCCTTGTATATGATTTCTAGACTCATGCTGCACACTAGTGCATGATTACCTACAAATTATTTAGTATTGATAAACTGTGCTTCACACCAAATAGGGCTTAGATGAACTCAATAGGCACACCATCATATACATAGGTGGAATTCTCAAAAAAAATAATATTCACATATGGTGTATAGAGCACAGTGAAAGAGAAACAAGACTATGGTGCAATATAGTTTGTGTATAAGACTTAGCACCAAGCTATGAAGGTAAATCACTCAGTAAAAGTAATAAGCTCAATGTTCAGACGCAGTAAGATATTTATGGGAATCCTGTCCAATCTTCTGTGTAGCTTCCTGTAGTTATGTGAACGAGAAAAACCTCATAGTGTAACACTGTATACAGCAAACCAACAGGGTCTAATATGGCATCATGCCCATCTGAATCTAGGAGAAGGATCCACAAATCTTCCACCAAGACAGCAAATACTCCAACAGGCACTATAACATCTCATTGTATTGGTTAGAATGTGTTAAATCCCCGGGCAATGTTCCTCCACTAAGAGTCAGACCATTTTTGTTAAGCAATTTAACACTGAAGAAATGTCCAAGACAAATATTACACACTCCCTCGAAACTGTACCAACTCATTCCAGTACTGGACACAGTAAGAGGCCCAAAAAACCCCCCCCACAGCTGACAAGCAAATGCTTCCTCGTTGGGTCATACAGCACAGAGGGAGGGGATAAGTTGCTGAAACATCTTTAGCTCTTACTCTTTAAAAAGCAAAGTCAGTTCAGGAGGTGCCCTGTAGGTTTACATTATAACATTACATGAGGTTGCTAGGCATTTGTACCATGGCACAATGTTTTAACTCAATTAAAAGAGCCACACTGCAAAAACCAAAATGACTCAAATGTTGATATCAACTATTACCAACATGTTTGAGAACTCTGAGAGCAGGCAAGAGCCAACACATACCAACGTTGTCTCAAATTTTGGCAGATCGATAAATGATCTACTTGCCTTTATGCAAGCTTGAATTTTGTGATCTTGCAATGATATTAAAACAAAAATCAGCTATTGGAATTCAGAATATTTTTTTCTTTTTAAGCTCACTAAAGTCAATTTTTTCTATTTTATGTAGATTACATGCTGCCATTGGAGACAGTGTGGCAGATTACATAGTTACACAACTGAGACTTTTATATCTAGTTCATACATTGAGGCTCTTTTGAACACAATGTTGCTATGAAAAGCACTGCTCCAATTGTGGATAACAGTTTAACAGAATCGCCTTGACAATTTTGCAACTGTTTCTTCCATATCAAGTAAAAAATAGTTTTTTTCCCATCATTTCATATAGTTCCAAAATAAAGACATAACACAAATCACCTGTAAAGAAGTAAATTTTATTAAATAAAACCTCACAAGTGGTCTTTAATTGCTAGTCCTGCGTGTGCTGAAGTCATGTTATTGTCATACATACACACTTTTTGCTAAATCAGTCACACTCTTCTGTAATACAGTTAAACAGGATACATCAAGTGCCATGGCAGCTTCAGGAGGGACCAGGCAAGATGGCACACCGTTCCTTCATTAGTGGTTAACAGTGCCAGTGTACTCCTAGCATAACCATTACAGCAGGCTGTAGTAATTATGATGTATGGTTGGATCGCTAAGAGAAGACACTTAGAGAAAAATCTTGGTCATAAGTTATCAGGAAACTTGAAATGGTCTGTCCTTTGGTTTTAAAAAAACAAAAACAAATAACCAAGCCTACCTTTGTGGATGCTTTTTGTCAAAGCTGCCTCGTAAGCCAAAAATTACATGGTCTTACACAAGTCTGCTAAAATTAGAGTTTTTGTCTTTCAGCTTTAGGAAGCATGGTCATCCCCACCTCTACAATGAGAGTTATTATAAAAAGATACTCTTTATATAAAAATAATTTAAAAAAAAGTATCTTTTTATAATAACTCATTGTAGAGGTGGGGATGACGATGCTTCCTAAAGCTGAAAGACAAAAACCTCTAATTTTAGCAGACTTGTGCAAGACCATGTAATTTTTGTTTACGAGGCAGCTTTAACAAAAAGCATCCACAAAAGGTAGGCTTGCTTTTTTTTTTTTTTTTTTTAATATAAAATCATTGACTGAGGGAATGTCACTGAAATCCGAACTGGTTTACAAAAGGTATACTGAGACAGAGTGGGTACTACATTGTTTAATTATTTTGGACAGAGTTACTGCCGTCACCAGCAACAGCTTTAGGAAAATTAAGCTCAACAAGGTCTCACATGGGCAGAAGTACTGTGCCAACATTGGCTACATGCAGCTGAACTGCCAGGAGCTCGTAAGGAGCAGACTGAAGAGGATGGCAGCATTGGGAAGGGATAGGTTTGTGTGTAAGTAAATCTCACTGCTGCCTGGGGCAAATTATGCAAAGACACCAAACTTAACAGTTGCACCTTAATAGATGCTGAGGTGCATTTCAGAGATTTTGTGGTGTTAAATATACTTACCAATCCCCCCCCCCAGTTGCACCTTTTCCCTCCTGTCATTACCAAACAGTTATCCCAGCAAGAGTTAAATACATTTGCACGGATCTGTCATACAAATTAAGAGCCACGCTAAAGAACAGCAGCTTCCATCCACAGAGAGGTCACTTCATGATACTTTGATTTGGGCAATTTGTAAAATGCTTCTGGTGCAGTTTTTAAAGTTATGAAAAGGGATGTGCCACTCATTTGTCTGCTTTCATGCATGATGCTTTTACACAACTCATTCTTTAATGCAGCACCCAGTCAATATTTAATACTCAAATGCAGGGATCTCAAACTAAATTTGTGCAGACATGAGCCCAGAGACATACAAACACAAGTTGTAGAATAAACCCTACTGAAACAATACCACAGACACAAAGTCAAAGAACATTTGCAAACTGCCCCTTCAGGGTCTTCCCTAATGTAATGTGGCTAAACTGTACTCGAGAGGGAGCACTATTGTAACAGAACTCTCCTGTAGGATCTCGTGCAATGTGTGCAGATAGCATGTTACACCTAGCACACAGCATATACTCAGTAGCTAATCCACACTCCGATGAACAGAAAGCCAAAGTTACTGACTGTGCAATCAGACATAACTCACCCATGGGTTACAAGAAGGTTGTTGGAGGACCAGAGGTTTCAGACCTATACTGTACTGCATTGCACCATCATTCAGATGGCTTAAATGCTTGGCCATGCTTATGTTACCAGTATTATGTAAACTAGGATCATTAGACCACACCGATATACCTTCTTCTCATTCAGGAAATCACTCTTGACGTAACCAAGGTTTTTTTCAGGACATCTATTTAAAAAAATAAAATAATTTTAATACATCTATACACAATTACCCACTAGTACATAGGCTACCCATGAACACAATTATGGGGAGACACCAAAAACTTACCATAGGCCTTAAGCCAACCAACACTGCAACAGTTACTAGGTGTCATGACTTCCATCAACCTGGGAAAAAAATAGGTTATATGAGAGGAAAAATATATTCAAAAAAATAAAAAAAAACCCAGCCCCCCAAAAAACAAAAACCCAAAACCACGTTTCACAACAGCTATCACCCTCCCACATTTTCAGTATGCAAGTATCCTTTGAATGCATTGTTGGAAAGGAACATTGGGATCACTTATGGCATGTAGTTTCCACTGAGCACTGCCATGATTAGAATAGGATTTTTTTTGAGGTCTTCAGTCTATTCAAGTTTTGTTTTGATCACCAAGGGTTGACATGTGTCATCATGATTGCATGTGGCAACAAGCTGCTTTAAAAATTAGTGTGCTTTTGATTTTAATGGATATCCGAGGCTAGAGATGACACTAACAGCCTTAAATATTTGACATATGCATTTATATATCTTGCCCCTCCTACTAAATGAAGGTATCATCAACTTTCCAAATAATGGAGTATATTTACTATTCCAAGAATAGGGTTTAGATTTGTTATCCAGCAGTGCCTTTCCATGTTTCAATAACTCATTTTCCATTAAGTACAGTAAATCTGTACAATGATGCAGATATGCAGCGCAAGAGTGACTTAGATTGGAAAAAAAACAACTAGTTTTCTTTGCTTACCCTCAGTGCAGTTTCTCAGGCATTTGGTGGCTTATAGTAGAGATTCACTTGTTTTAGGCTGTCATGGTCTTTGAGATGAAGGCATCATTGGATTTGGCTCTTCATTTGTTGTTAGAATGAATCCTTTAAAAGTGACACTACAGATTTGCAAACACATTGAAACAGTAACAGCACATATGGTTGGGTAGCTTCTTTGTGATTGGGACTACTTGTAAATTGCAGCAGGTAATCATGTGATAAAATTTCTTTAGGAGGAGTGGGCACAAGTCCTTTGTTTCACGGTAACAGGTGTGGTGAGTGAATATTATCCATGGTTTTGTGTTTAGTGGACTTAAATTTTAGTAATCCAAACAACCCATTTGCTTAACACATTTGTAATTCAGGTAATTGAAGTTAGTGGCTTAACCAGCACACACTTAAAAGTTAAAATGAAAGTTTTATTCATTGTGTTGATCTCCATTGGAACTTGGGTGTTTACAGTTGGGGGAATCATGAAAGGAAATTCAGTGGAGTTTCAGTGAAACTTTACTTTTGAGAAAAAAAAAGTTACAACACTAATACAGAGCTCAAACTACACATTTTACATATCAAATAAGTAACAAAACTCGAAGCTTAAGCATTTAACTTCCTCACATGAGGCTAAAATTCACGGAGGAGAAACTTACAGGTAAAAAAAAAATAAAAATAAAATGTAAAGATAAATAAAACAAACTTCCTCATAGTAGTCCGCTGGTGGAAGAGGCAGAATAAATGCCATTTTGATTTGTTTGTTATAGAATGTTTTGGTCCATTTTAAATATTTTTTTGTTTTAGTATCTGCTTCTACCACCTCCTCTTTCAGATCTGCTTCCACCACGACCACCACCTCTCGGGACACCCCGACTTGAACTGCTGTATGAATCTCGAGGAGGAGGGTATCCCCTATCCATTGAAGGTGGTAATCCACGTTCTTGCCTGCCAACTCTGTCACGGCCACTTGAATACAAATCATTTCTGCTGCTTGAGTAACTGTCTCGTCCTCCGTATCCATCACGTGTGCTGCCATAGTCATCATACCGACTGCTTCCACCATATGATGGCGTGGGCCCTCTTGCAGGTGGAGCACTACGCGAGTTACCTGCAGGGTCAATGGTCAGGTAATAGGGCAATACTATGAGTTACATTTCACATTTCAATTTGATAGTGCAGCTTATTACTTTCCTGTAATCTGAGTGTGGGTTTTGTAAGGGCTGCAGTGTTGGGAATTTCTAGTAGAGGGAATTGCATTCTACACGTTAAAAATAGATTTAGGCTATTACTGAGGAGGCACACTTAAGTCATCTCATTTGTGCTATGATCTCCAGAACAGCAGCGTTAAAAGGATAAAAGTCTGCCACATGATATCCGGGAGTTGCATTTGCTTCACTTTGAGCAATGATTTGATCTTGCTGCAGTGCAACTCAAAATTAGCATTCCATGTATGGTAATCTAATTTTTGCCTCTGCCCCACATAAACTAGCAGTGTTCCATTTCCTATTGTAAAATTTGTATCTTCACCGTAGGCATTTACGTATCCTGGAAAATAGAAGACTTTTTAAAAAAAAATAAAAAATGACACCTTACCATAGGGCTCATATGAGTCTCTGTAAGAACCTCCACTCGGGTGGTCCGAGTAGTCTCTGTCACGGCCACCACTGTAGCCATCACGATCACTACAACAATAAGTAAGAAATTAGCACATTTTCTTCAATGCCTATTGAAGGAAAATAAACAAAACCAGAGTATAATTTACCTGTAGCTTCTAGAACTGTAATCATCACGTGAACTTGAGTGACCATAATCTCTATAAGTATAATCTCTTGGGGGTGGTGCATAATCTCTCGAGTCTCTAGAACTTTGATAATCTCTAGAGTAACTAAAAAAAAAAAAAAAATTCATACGTTAATGCCTTGAGGCATAAATACCCACAACAATTTCAAAATGCGTACAAACATTGCAATACCTATCATATCTATCCTTTCCACTGTAGCCATCATCTCTTGGTGACATGTAAACATCTCTGCGAGATGGCATAGGCTCTCTTCGTGGAGGTCCTCCATATCCATCCCTTTCACGTGACAACGGTGCTGTAAGAACAAGTTACATGAAGCACGTGAAAAAATAAAATTATACCCCCCCCCCCCCATTGTTCCACATCTTACCTCTCCCACTCATTCCACTACTGCGAATGGGACCAGACGGAGCAGACCTTTTAGGTGGTGGGCCACCACTTCTAGGAGGGGGTCCCCTTTTTAGAGGCATTTGACCTCTTGAAGAGCCACCTAGAGAAAATTTAAATAAATAAAAAAAAAATTAATGAAGCAGATGCCAAGTTTTTTTTAATCTTAAATGGTAGATTAACATAAAGGAAAGTCTGTAATACAAACATGTATTCCCAACACCATAGTGTTAAACAAATGTGTTCAGAAAGTCTTAATATTTTCTTCCTGTGTATAATGTTGCCTCTTGTTGGGCTGAAATTTTTATTCGGAGCCAAGTCAATTTAATCCACATTTTGAGCCACCTGCAAAAGCGAGCCAAGCTCTTAAAAGTAGATTGCCAAGAGAGAAAAAAAAAACCACACACAAACCCCCCACCACCGGATGCCAGTAGGCACCTGAGAACAAAACAAGTGGAGCCTGGAATGTCATTTTGTATGTCTAACCAAATGCCAAAGGTTGGAATTAAAATGTATTTCAGCTATTTTGCACATAACTAACACCCTCCCTCTTTGATCCCCGGAGACCTCCTTTGGGACCACTTAATTTCCTAGGTGGAGGAGAGGTGGACGCCCGCTTCCCGCCCCAAATAACGTCGTCGCTTGTTCAACTTTTGATTGGTTTTCCATCCAAAAGCCTACACATGAGAAACCGCCAAACTGTCATAATGAACAAAAATATGCAGATCCCATTCCCCTTCACAAAAAGTGAGCTATCGTTTGAATGGCTAAGTGCCACAAGTTTAAACTATCATTGAACCTAACATTTCAGTAAGTAGGCTCATACAGCCATTTAATGGAAGTGTACCCAATCAAATGCTTCCTTAAAGAGACACTCCAGAAAAATTGCACTTCAGCTCTGTGACATAAGTACACCATTTTAACAGAAACCAGCACTTTATAAACACCTCATCGGCTGTTTTCTTCAACAGAGCCAAGTACAGATGCACTTGTCTGCCTGTTCCCTTCACAAAGACCTGCATTACAACTCAAGTGTTACGCTAAAGGAAAGCTGCGCTCACAGCTCCAGCATAGAGGCTTCTCAACAAAGATCCTGTGATTGGCGTTTTCACTTGCACAGACAAAGTTTGGGTTAAGGAAAGGTCTTCCCAAAGGCTGACTAGAGCAAGATTGCAACATAGAAGTTTACCTTTGCAGTGAAAGCTTACCTTTCCATTCAGTTCTCTTGCTGCATCCTTTGCATCTCCAGGACTCTCAAATGTGACAAATGCAAACCCTCTGGATTTGTTCGTTTCACGATCTTTCATTAGAAGAACTAGGAGGAAATTAAACAAATATTCAGCTATACAACACTGTCATTCAAATAGCTTGTGATTATAATGTAAATTCAATGTTAGAGGACTGCACAAAATCCAAAGATAAAGCTCAGAACTTCTTAGAGGACAAGTAGGCTTTATCAGTTCAAAAATTGATCAATGCCAAGAGTTCATCACTGCTTGTTATGAAATGTTAGGTTTAAATTAATTTGATATTCACCTTCTATAACACGGCCATATTTACAAAACACACCCTCCAATGCCTTCTCATTTGTTTCAGTGTTTAAGCCACCAATAAAAAGTTTGCCTGGACGATCTGCTTCCACCATTTTGATAGAATTAGTCTGTAACAAAAAGCAGTTATTAGTAAAATAATTTCATTGACTCTGCTGTAGAAGGAAGTTATTGAGTAATCAAAAATGCAGATATCCTGGACGACAACTCACTTTTCCCAACTTTGTACCACGCACAGAATAATTATATTGCCCACAAGATATTTTCAGGCTTGAGAGCATTCATCTGTGCAATTTATTTCCCAGTGGGTAAATCCCTTAGATTAGACACATGCTATAACACACCTGAGTGAGCACAGACAAGTAACACTGATTTTTCAGAACCTAAACATTTGCCATTAACTCTACTGGAACAGAATTGGGAATGCCCAAATTGCATGTTTGTGCGTGTGGACTAACGTGGGAAGAAGCATTGCGTCAAATAAACAGTCCTTGTGCAAGCAATGGCTGTACTTGTAACCACATGTTGCCTCCCCCCTCCCCCACAAATAACTGACACGGGGCCGGAGGACGCCCCCATAGCTGAGATGGGGCCCGGGCAGGAGGACCCCCCCCCCCTAGCTGAGCTGGAACTCCCTCGCACAAAATGGCGGCTCAGTCTGCAGACTCCGTGCATCGAGCTCTGTACAAACCGCCCGGATCCCGCAGGATGACAATGTCTGTAACACGGCCCCTCACGGCGCTGGGGAGACCCGGTAACACGGCCCCTCACGGCGCACCCGTAACACGGGGGCGCGACCCGGTAACACGGCCCCTCACGGCGCGGGGGGGACCCGGACCCGGTAACACGGCCCCTCACGGCGCTGGGGGGGGGACGGACCCGGTAACACGGCCCCTCACGGCGCTGGGGGGGGGACGGACCCGGTAACACGGCCCCTCACGGCGCTGGGGGGGGGACGGACCCGGTAACACGGCCCCTCACGGCGCTGGGGGGGGGACGGACCCGGTAACACGGCCCCTCACGGCGCTGGGGGGGGGACGGACCCGGTAACACGGCCCCTCACGGCGCTGGGGGGGGGACGGACCCGGTAACACGGCCCCTCACGGCGCTGGGGGGGGCCCGGACCCGGTAACACGGCCCCTCACGGCGCTGGGGGGGGGCCCGGTAACAGGCTGCAGTAGATTAATAGATCACCGGCCGCTACACTCAGTCAGTCGCAGCCCCCTATAGCCCGCATTAATAAATTATATCATACATCCAGCGCTCAGTTAGCGGCCTGGAGCCCTAACACCCCGTCACAGCGAGTCACACCACGCTCCTCTCAAAATGGCGCCGGCCGCCCTCTCACAGACCGAGCTGGAGATGGCCGCACACAGGGGAGGGACCGGCCCCGCAGAGAACCCAGCACACAGCGCGCCCACCTATACCACCGACCGCGACACGCACACTACAAGGGGGGACACTAATGTAATGGCTCGAAAACCACCAGACAGTACTCACCACACAGACCGGATCACACCGACGCGCGACAGGAATGAACGCGGACAAAAGACTGCGAACGCTTTAAATAGCTCTGACGTCACCACACCAAAACGAGGCTGTAATGAGAGCGGGTGGGAGGGGCGCGATATGGAACGCCTTGCTTGCTCGGGTCACGTGAGCTTTTCCCGCCCCTGGAGCTCAGCTTCCTATAGGCACTCACCATGTGTTCCTTCCCATTTCCTGCCAATGGTCCTCGGGAGGGGGTGGGGCCGGGGCCACCAGCGCCGCCATTTTGATGCAGGTCGAAGTGACTTGTAAAGTGACGATATATATACATATATATAAAGCTAGACAGTGTTATTCACCAAAGGGACAGAGTTCGAAGTGAATTTCAAATTAAAGGTCATAGTAGCCAAACTGAAAGCAGAGCTGCCTGTGTGCATTTTTTCTGGTTCTGCGATTTTAAAGCGGCACTGTCATGCCGAATTCTGTTTTTTTTTTAACCCCCCTCCCGCCTCCACTACATCCAATTGACCCACTAGTCACCCCCAAATGCCCCTAAGCCCCCCACATTACCTATTTTTAAATCCTTATTTTCTGCCCCGATCTTGATTCAGGGCGCCGCCATCTTTGTGTGGGTAGGTGAAGTCCCTCAGGGACACGTCATCTGCCCACACTAGATAGACTGTGAGATTCCCGCACATGCCCAGTGAAACACCTGGACATGCGAACGGGAATTTCATCTATTCATTCATTCATCAGACAGACGAATGAGTGAATAGAAAGATCAGCCGAACAAACAAACACAATGTATCAGTGTTAGTTTGTTCGTGCAGGTTATTACAAGGAGGGAGCTACCGGCACGCAGCTCCCTCCTTGTAATATGTAATTATAGAAGCGGCAGGGAGCAGTGCTCCCCACCACTTCATAAGCCCCCCCAGGTCCACCTCTCACTCTATGGGGGTCAATATGACCCCCATAATAGCACAAGGGAGATTAAAATCTCCCAAATGCCCCTACTCGCTATACCGCGAGTAGGGGCATGTCCACTAAACAGTGAGCAGCCTGTGGCTGCTCACTGTAAAAAAACAACTATTGGCCCCCACCCCTAAACAGTGAGAATGAGGGGGGGGGGCAGTTATGGGGGCCATAATGAGAATGGGGGGGGGACCTACTGTCCTACCCCCCGCCCCCACCCCTGGGCGGCGGGTGGGGGCCATAGTGAGAATGAGGGGGGGGACCTACTGCCCCCCCCCGGCCCCCACCCCTGGGCGGCGGGTGGGGGCCATAATGAGAATGGGGGGGAGACCTACTGCCCCCCCTGGCCCCCACCCCTGGGCGGCGGGTGGGGGCCATAATGAGAATGGGGGGGGGGACCTACTGTCCTACCCCCCGCCCCCACCCCCGGGCGGCGGGTGGGGGCCATAGTGAGAATGA